TTAACAAAGTTAACATAGTTTTCTAAGGATCTACATTAGGAAGATCATCCTAATGATTTTTAGTGTAACACTAGTATCTTATTGAATTCAGATTAATAATAAATCATTTTTAGATTGTCTAAGATTAAGTATAATAAATTTTTTTTTAATATAAGATCATTTATTGTTGATATAAGACTCTTACTATCATCAATATAGAGACTAATAATTCTTTGAATATCTTGAAAATTATAAGCATCTATATATAATGAAATATAGGTAATATTCTTATAAATAATTTTAGGAATAAGAAAAAATCTCTGACTTATATAATTTGGGTTAATATTATTATGTCTTTTACTAGAAAAATAATCAGCTATGTGTTTTTGAATTTTTGAATCAAAATCTTCTATATCTAAAATATTAGTAGATAAAATTGCTCGAAATAATATATCTTTACCTTTTTTAGCTAGAACATATTAAAAGTCTCTAATAATACCTAATTTGATTTATTTAATTAACATTACATTATTGCAAAAAATATATTACTCAATATTCTCCTTTATCTTTTTATTACTTTTAAGAAGATTTATATTTATAGTAGTTTTATCAGAATCAAAGCTACCTAAAACTATCATTCTAAATGATTATATTGAAACAAATTTATTATCTTGTCTTAGATTTTAGTATATACATCAATATCTTAATTATATAAATTTATAGTATTTTTACACACTATAAAAGAATATTATTAATTAAATGATATTTCACATATTTAAATAAAATGTTAGAAACTGTTTTCTATAAAAAAAAATTATAAAATGTAATTTTAGCTCTTGAAGAATTGATTCAAAAAAATATTTATTTAATATAAGAATTTCAGAATGCTAGAGTTTTAAATTTGTATAAAAAAGAATTTATTAATTATAAGGAAGAACAGCTTGTAAAATTTAAAAAAACTATTCAGAAATTATACAATAAATTACATAAAATAATATAGTTAATAGTTTTAATTCATCATTAATAGTAGAACAACTACATGATATAATAACTCAGCTTAAAATTAAAAAAATAATAGAATAATCTAATTCTTAAATAAGCAGCAGAAGAGAATTAATAATATTACATATAAGGTTGCTTGTCTAAACTCATTTTGGATTTGGCAAAATAGTAAAACCTTTAGTTTCGCTAAATTTTTACTAAGT